AACACGGTAACGTCGATAACGATGTTTAACCGATGATTAGTGTCAACCAGGCCTTGAGCAACGGGCTCTTAAAATATGATAAATTGGGTATTTACGACGGAAAAACGGCACCGCGTTTTTTTTTGTATGGAGAGTGATTCTCCCTAGTGTACATTTGGAGAACGATACTGACCTCTAGGATTTTTTATTGATTTTTATTTGAATTGCAAGTGAAATTTTATTAATTGCATAGCTACATACATATGTACATATTAAGGTACGGTTATTGACACCCGATTCACACATATATGTATGTGTGTATATAATTTTAATTGACACATCTTTTTCATTTGCTGTTTAAAGAGTTAAAAATTTGCATTAGAATTATAAAATATTAGATATCATATTGTTTCCTTAAATATGAATAATTTATTATGATTTATTTTTATTATAACCTCTGTGAGCTTTCCTAAAATGGAAATGGACTCCTTGACGCTAGAGCAGTTTTCTTTTTGCTAAATAATTATTAAATTCCAAACATCTATTTTTGAAGCTTAAGCTTAAAAATACCGTTACATTTATTTCGATATCTGTTCCGTTCTCGAGATATTGTAAGTTTGCCAGAATTTTGATTGGTGGTGGGTCTTTTGCCATAAACTCTCCATCCACATCAAGGTTAGGCTTCCTGACCCTAACCTCATTGACGGTGCGCAGAAAATTTGTCGGGGAGTCCCGGATATCCCTCTGCGAGAAACGACAGTGCCGACGAGTTGGCGGCAAGTATACCCTTGAACGATACCACTAGGCTGTGATCACCATTGGACACCTGTGGTTCACACTTGCACAAATCGGCCTCATGCCAGCTCTGTGCAAGTTAGGTGAATACTAGAATATGAGCAATTACAAGTCACAGCTCTCACTTTTGGTAGGGGTTTTGACAGGTCACTACAGCTCAATGGGCATTCACGCGGTGAGTATTCTATCCTCACTGCAGCAGTGGCCTGGAGGATGATGTATCTTAGCTCGCAGTTTTTAACCAATCCTGAAGAATGTTTGGTGATTGATATAGCCATATTGGCAACTTGTGATATTACTCAAGGTGTTCGTCGATTGAATTGGCCACATTCATTCAATCGACGAAATACCTCTCTCAATCAAGTGATGTCACAAAGGACCTAACCTAATCTAAATTTTTTAACAAATCTAATACAAATTTTACATTTTAGATCCGAAATTCCTGATTTCGACTATCAGTCTTCAGCCAACATTCATAATAAACTCTTATTATGGTTGAATTTAGTATGGGAAAACTTTGTGTTGGTGAGCGGAATGGGTTGAAATCAAATTATCCGTTCTACACTTAATCACTTACGACTTCAAACAAAAGCCCTTGAAATGCAAAATTCGGTAAAACCAAATGCCTTTCACAGATTGAAACTAACTAAGAGACGGAAAATTACCCAAGGTTCTATTAGCAAATATTCACAAACAGATTTGAAAAAGCCGAAATACCTTACTAATTTCTACAAAACGAATTCATTAAATATTTAACAGCGTATATATGCATGTGTGTATACATATGTATGCACATATACAGTCATGTGAAAAATATTTTATCACGCATTCGCTTCCATACAAAGTATGTTTTACATTTTTTTAATATGGTAGAAAATAATAACACCATCGGCAAAAAAAGAAAAAATATTACAAATCAACGCAAATCCTTAGGCACTAAACTGGAATTTAATGGGCTATAAAACTGCCTTCCTAGAATTTTTCTAAAAATCCTTAGTAACAAAGTTGTTGTAAAATTTTGTTGAAATTTTTTTGTTGTTGTATTTTTGTAAAAAAATATTAAACATTAAACAAAAAAAAAATTGCCAAAACTAGTCAAAATTTCGTGTCGTGTTATTTTTCACATAACTGTTTGCGTACATACATTCACTGCTAACGTAATATAACGTGTTTTGAGATAATAAACCATTGCAGCCTAATTAAATTTAAAATGCCCAAGTGTTTGTGGCTTTTGTTTAGAAATAAAATTAGGAAATTAAATAATTTCTAAATAAATTCCTCTTGAATTTTTCACCCGTTAGCAAAGGCAGAACTGAATTATAGTTAAGTATAAACGTATGAATTTATTTGCACGTATGTATGTATGTATGTCTATTAGGGTGGTCCAAAAATGCATGTGCGAAAGTAAGGACGAAATTTTTATGCTCTCACCCCTTAGGATTTTTCTATACCGAAAACATATGCCCCTATTTTTCAATATTATTTTTCAATTTTATATGGGGGAAAAAACAGCTTTTCGTGGAAATGGTGTAGAATTTTAGAAAATCAATATTTTTCGATCGGAAAACTCTGCTTGTCTTCAGGAGATTCCCCATTTTTTCATAGTAGCTATATTTTATAGGTCCGCCAAGTCCCCTAGAGAATACCAGAAAATGCAATGGGGGGATAAATAAAAAATCTTTAGTATTAAAAAATGGTTAAATAAACAATTGCGTATTATTATTGAAAGTCCCATAAAAAAACCAGAGTTTTCCGATCGAAAAATATTAATTTTAAAGAATTATATACCATTTCCTCGAAAAATATTTTTTCCTCATATAAAATACATGGAAGACCTAAAAAGCTTTGAGCGACCTCTAAATATTTTTTGATTTCAAAGTAAAGAAAATAGGGGTATATTTTTCGAAATAGAACAATCCTAGGGGGTGAGAGCATTAAAATTTAGAAAATTTACTTATTTTGGGACCACCCTAATGTGCATATATAGTATGCACGGGGTATCCATGCATGCATATGCAATCTACCAGGTTGTATCTTATATGATTGGGATGAATACTATGTAAGTTTTCCCAGATTTTGCTTAAATTTACCACGTCATTTGAGTTTAAAAGAAAATGTTTGTCTTTCATGTCACTTTTTTTTTGAAATTAAATGATATGGTAAAAACTCGTTAAATACATACAAACTAATGTATATTTGTATTAATATACACACTGTATGTTCATATACGTATCTAAGTACATTTATATTAATAAATGTATGTATGTATGTGCGTATGTATGTGTATGGCATGGCAGCGTGCATTTTGCTTTAAAATTTTTGACTTAATGCCAAATTATTGTTGTACAAACAAGTGGCCAGCTTTTGGCATATAAACATAAAATTTTTACGTAATTTCGCACAGGAAATGGCAAAAATACATGTCAGGCAAACGTATGCTTTTTTTTCAATATTCAATCCAAAAAAAAATAAATAAAATTGTTGGCGTATTTAGTATACTAAGTAGATTTAATTATGCCAGAAATAAAAGATAATAGGGGTATTCTCCAAATCTTGCAAAGCCATTGCACGTAGCACGGATTGCATGGATTGCATAACTTGCAAACACACAACAACAAAATACATTGGAAACAACATTTGCTTCGCTGCAAAATATGCAACGTCGAAACCCATGTATATATTTTGCAAAATAGCATAGCAAGATAAATGCGACCCTCTGCTAGTTGTTTTGTTGTTGGAATTGCTACATATTTTTCTCATTCCTCTCATCTCGCTCACTTCATTTTTTTTGTTGTCTCTTGTTCTTGTATTTGATACATAATTTCGATGCTTGCATCCCATGCATGCTATCACTTTGTGATGGGGTGCTCTCGTACTCCTCGAAATTTGGAATAGTATTTTTGCATTTCGTGCAATCCGTGCATCGTGCAAGACTTCGAGAATACCCCTAATGAGTTTTTCCACTTCACCAAGGTGGGATTCTTAACTGCTTATTGTATGACAGATGAGGTGTATTGCTTACCAATAACGGCTATGTCATAACGTAGAAATCGATTACTGTGTGTATCAGGCAGTTGCGAGAAAATAAATATACATACGTAATTAAACAAACAAACGGAATGAAAAAAATTTTAAAATATAAGGTTAAAAAACTAGGAAAAAATCAATAAAATCAATAAAATCAATAAAAAGCTGAAACAAATTTAAAAAGACATATCTAGGCATATAAATATGTACATTGGCCACTAAAATTTTGATAACGGTTAATTCATGTTCTGTGAATCTAATTCAGAGGTGACCTTACTAGTGTGACATCTCATTTTTGATATTCGAAAGAACGGTGGAGATCTGAAGACCTTCCTTCAACTATTATATATATTTTACATTAGTGTGTGCCTTATTTGTATGGAGAAAATTTGTTTGGTAAGCTACAAAGCAAGACTTTCTCTAAATAAGTTCACTCGGTCATAAAAATGTGCTTTGCGAAAAGTTTTTCAAACGGATAACGGAAACACGTGCGTCAAGAACCTTAAATTTACATAAGCTAATTCATAAAATTTTATATAAAAAATTGTTATTTGTTTCATATCATTTAATGGGGCTTTCTTTATAGAGCTTTTTAGGGGTCTTAAAACACGTCTTTCCATTTTCCGATTTCGGGAATTCGCAGAGCACATTTTTATGACCACATGAATCTATATCGTGAGTGAGTCTTGCTTTGTGTGTGTGGATATGTAGATATGACTTTTCGAATAGCTGGCAGTCCCTAATAAAAAATACTTTCAAACTAAAGCTTTCTTAAAAAAGTTTTTATCCAAAGGCAGCAACTCAAACAGTTGTCAAGCCCCACTTTGACTCTATCCTTTTTTGCAATCTAATCAGCACAAACAATGCAAAACTCTCTCGGCAGAGACTTAATTACTCAATTTGAGTCTCTTATCAGTGAAAAATTCCCGGAAGTGAAGCTGTCGCAATGCTAGGCTCACATTTAGCTTTTCTTACCAAATAAGAGAGAGTATAAATTCTAAGAATTTGTTATTGTCAAGCTCTAAACGAAATGGCTAATCATTGCCTCTCGCGTATTTGAACTGAACATTTTATTAGCTTGCAGAGCGAATAAAAGTGGCACTTATCGAAAAAGCTTTATTTTATTTTATGGGCGAAGCGCTACATGAAGGATAATAAACACTTATGTATGTATGCATTTGCCAACTACTTATGCTAATTCTACCTTTCTGTTGGTTTTTGTGACTCCTTTTGTAAAAATCCAGTTGTGGCATCCTTCAAATTATCCTTAAGTTTCTCATTTCCATTCTCGAAAGGTTTCTTCACCTCCTGCAATTTCCTATCTAATGCATCGGTCACTGCTTCTTTTTTCAAAGCAACAGGACTTGGTGCTGGCTTTACGGATGGGCTTGATGCGGGCGTCGAAGGTGGTGTGGCTGGTGCGGGTTTCTCAATCGGTTTTGATGGAGTCGGAACTGATGGGGGAGCGACGGTGGCAGCGGGCTTCACTTCTGGTTTAACTGGCTTGGGCTCCGGCACCACTGGTTTAGTTTCTGCGATCTTTTTCGTTGCACTTGGCTGTGTTTGTGGCTGCAGCGGCGGTTGTGGCTTATTTTCTATAGCATTTTTGCCAAGCTTTATATTCAAGTTATCAAAAAACCAACCGAAATGTTTTCTACAAAAAAAAAAGTGAAAACCAAAAGAAAAGAAAAATTTTTCAAGTGATTAAAATTAAATTTACCAAATAAATGGGTATAATTAAAAATATATTAAAATAAAATTTCAGTAATAACTGCAATAATGTATGTAACGAGTAAATGTTAAAATGTGTCACTAAAAACGTGTGTATAATTAGTGCCTATCTATGTATGTACATATGTACATTAGTGTGCACCACTACTGTCAAAAATACCCGATCCTTGAGAGTATCGATACCAAAGAAGTGGATCCTCAAAAGTACTCGATACTTCCCAACACTAATGTACGCACATATGTACATATGTATGTAGCGATGTTTCACAGCCAAATTTTAAAATCGGAAAATCAATTTTAAAAGCTTCACCAAAACGAATCGATTTGTTAATTGCATCTACTTAGTGAAGCAATTGCAAATCGCTTAGAATAATGAGTGCATGCATGTGCACAATAAACCGCACCTTTTTCCTGTTATTTCTTTAAAAAATCAATAAGAAATTAAACAAAAAAAAACAAACCACCCGAAACTCAGGTACACAATTTGTAAACATATAGTTCTATAATAAAAGTATTATTTAGATTGTACTGTTTCCAACCTGTTGAGACTGTGCAACGCTCATTTCGTCACATGATTTAGCAAACTGATTTTATTTACATACATACAAACATATGTACATACATGTCTTTCACTGCTAGGCAATTAACCACTTGTTGCCGATCTAATTTTTGAGTCTACATTTGCACAAAGTATAACCTGCTTTTATACATACAGACATTAGTACATATGTAAGCATATAGATATGTACTTATCTATTGTATATTATGTATACGAAAATGCAAATGCGCTAATAATACAAAAAAAAATTGCAATCACTCACTATGACAGTTAATCGGAGTGATTGGTCGGCTCATAAAATGAACAAACGACAAATGGTTTTTAGATAGACGCAGTGAGATATGGATACAATGCATGTTATAAATGAGTATGTATGTATATATCGAGCCCTAACCGCCAAAATAACGTAAGCGACATTTTTTTCAAAATTTTCTTTTTGATGCAGAAATATTCCCAGAGCATCTAGGTACATTTCTGCATCAAAAAGAAAATTTTGAAAAAAATGTCGCTTACGTTATTTTGGCGGTTAGGGTTCGATATGTTCATGAGGTGCAAATGCCGGTAGATGATTAATAGAAAAACACCCGGTAAACATTTCTTTGTTGGATACTTAGAAAAGCTCACATTAGAGCTGCAAAGTTATCGATAGTTGCAATATTCGATAGTTTCGATAGTTTATGTATACATATGTACATAACTACCGGTAGTATGGTTTAGAGCTAGAAAACTATCGATTGTCAAACGAAAATAAACTAAGATAGTATCGTAGGTATGTATGTTCCAGTTCGACCGCTGTGGCTGAGTGTTTAGTGGTGAGTACTACAACTCCGTAGGACCCGGGTTCGTTCCTTGAACTTTATAGTTATTCATATATAATAATAAAAAATAATTTTTTACCAAAGGCCCTATTTTGAACTTCGAAGACCCATATCTCGATTTCGGAGGCTAACTTCGAAAAACGGAGAAATTACTTTTTTATCTATGACTCAATATCTTAAATAAAAATTGGTTTGTTCCAATACCCAGCCGAGTGCTGTACAGTGTAATGATTCCAGTATCTTCATTTATGCATATTGTAACTATCAATATCTTATTAAGAGTAGTGTAATTTATTTTTTTTTATCTAAAACTAATAAAGTTAGAAGAACGAAATTCGAGGATGTGGGTGGTTAACATATTACTCCCTGACATATATTTTTTTTTCAAAAATAAATACTGGAAATTTCCAAGGCTATTCAAGGATAAATTTTTAATAGGACATTTTCAATACTTATTCGTACTGGTGCATGCAAAAATTATTTTTTTTTTATTTCTACAGAATATTTCCTTTTAATTGATACCCATATTATTATTCTACAATGCACCGAATCTTTTGAATAATTTTTTTATTCAATGATATTCTAGAAATTTTAAAGTCCTTTAAAAAAAAACCTGACGTCAGAGAGAAAAACTAAAAACGCAGTTTTACTATATTTGGCCGCCAGTTTTTTGAATATATTGATTTTTTTCGTGTGGAAAATTATCGGTAACATCGGCACATCGATAGTGCCAGTGAATACATCACAATCATCTAATTTCTTTTCAATTACTCGGGTAAAAAAATTACTCAAGGTTTGATTGTTTACTTTGTCTTAGATGATCTCGAAACCTTGAAATGTGTCATTCGAATCTAGTAATCATATCGAGCCCTAACCGCCAAAATAACGTAAGCGACGTTTTTTAAAAATTTTCTTGATGTAGAAATGTATCAAGATGCTCTAGGAATTGGGAAGGAATTTAATTTTCCTCGAATTCAGTGATACAAATTCTTTCGTACCCGTAGCGAGCATTCTGATTCGTGGATTTTCTGTTATTTGTTACTTAATTATTATTAGGATATTCGAAAATAGCAGAAATAGCACTGCGTTCAGACCAATTTCTCCTAGATTTTATTTCACTCGCTTACTTAAAGTTTATTGGGTTGAAATGTGCTTCTGTGCAGAATTGTTCCACATACATATGTACATATGCACTACATCTACCAGCACACGATTGTTGATTCTAACAAATTAGCACAGCAACAAACTCTATTTAAATTTTGAGTAATTGTTTGCGATTAATAAAAGTGTTAATAGAATTGTAGATATAGACGATGACATGGGAAGTGTTTGGCGTCAACAGGCCAAGATGATATGTACGTCGTTTAAAGTACAAAACCGCGTATCGGGGTTCTGTAAAACCTTGTAACTGAAATTTGTGCTAAAAAAGATATTTGCTCACTGGAAGCTCCTGGCATCAAGCCCTTATCCATTTACATATACTAAAATATCGATACTTAGATTAAAGAAGAATGGATAATTAGGGTTAAAAGAGAGAACCGTTTTGAAATTAGAAAAGTTTTACTCTCTCCTATAAAATTTGGGCAACCTCACATAAGATATTTTGTATTTTCTTGATACGCGGTTTTGTACTTTAAACGACGATATCTACATACAGTATCGGCCATTATCATAAGCAACCCAATTTCAACGTGATATTGTTTGTCAGTTATGTTTGTTTATTTAAATATTTTTGAGATTTTTCAATTCATTGAACAACAAAACACATATAAACCTAAGTTTAAATTTTTGTCGAAAACTAAAAAAGTCAACAAATTTTCAACAAAATTTCAAACTTTTTTCACAGAAGTGTTCGACTTTTTTGTGTATTACAGCCCTTCCAGTTTTAGTATAAAAATGTGCACGTTGCAAGTGGCTAAAAATTACCGTTGATTTTTTAGAAACAACAAAACAAAACCTTCGGCAAAAAACAAATTCTAAAAAACCAACAATAATTTTTAGCCACTTGAAACTTGCAAATTATTGCACTAAAATCATTCAATTTTCAATAAAACTATGTGCTCAAATAAATTTCCAACACTTATGAGAAAAAAGTTTTAAATTTGGGTGAAAAGGTTTTGATTTTTTTTTTTAGTTTTCTACAAAATTTTAAACTTGGGTTTATATGTTTTTTTTTTTAGAGAATGAACTGTATTTTAATTGGAAATAAGTGGCAAACAATATCACTTTGAAATTGGGATGGTGCTAATAGTATGACCGATACTGTAAGTACTTCTGCAAATTCGCGAATGTGTGAAGGAGTGTTTTTGTTTATTTTATTTTGCAATTTCTTATTTTCTTTTGACAAACCAAGAAAGAGTCTACGTGACAAAAACGGTGTACGGAGGGAACCATTCAGTGCATGTTTGCATCTACAAAGTGATCGCGATTTTGCGATTTCCAATCTGCTGATGTAGTCGGTGGCTGTATGCCGCGTACTTAAGTCCATACTACTGTCAGCGTCAAAAATATGAATACCTCTGACATTTTGACGATTTTATTTTTTTTTATATTTTCCATACTAATTTTTTCCTTATTTTTTTCTAATAAAAATATAGTTAAATCAACACTAAAAATCTGCATAATTAATTCCTTCGATTTCATATAGAACTCGGGAAAATTCAGGAAATACCAAAAATTGTTGATCAAAATTTTAAACTTTTCAATGCGATTTCTTAGAAAAATCTTGGGTATGCAGTTTTGTAGCAAGTAGGTGCAAGTTTCAAGCCCCTAAAAATTATCGTTAATTTTTGAGAATTTTTTTGTCGCACTTGCTTCCATATAAAAATAGATTTTGTTCGAACTTTTTTTTGTACCCCATTAAATTTTAATATTATAAAGTGCAAGTTTGAAGTAGCTTGGTAATTTTTTGTTTTTGCCGACGGGGTGTGCTTTTTCCACCACACAAAGTAAGTATGCTCGACGAGTTTTAATATGGAAGATAAGAAATCTAATTAAGTGGTTGAGTTTTTTACGAAAGTTTGTTGAATATTGCAGAAGGTTTGCAATTTGGATTTACAGGGTTCTTGCTTGAAATAAATTATTTATATTTATATAAAAAAAAATTAAAATTAAATATCTATAAGAAAATCAATTATTAAAACTTGTAATTTCTGGTGCGGTTATAATTTTGACACAGGGTGTGCGTAGTACATATGTACATACGTTAATCTTGTAAACAAGAATGTGCTAACGTTTGCATTAATTTTTACTCAATAATTTATTTGTTTATTTTATTTTATAAGTCTCGTAGATATTCGTCAACTCAGTGGGAATAGAATTACATAATGCGTTGATGATTCCACAAATAATTGCTTCATACATGTATTTATGCACACACATATGTATGTACGTATGTGATAATGTATAAATAAAATTGAATGAAGCTTAATTATAAAGACATTATGACGACGATCATTGTTTGTGGGAAATTTTTTTTTAATGAATGTTATGTATGTATGTATGTATATTAAAAATTGGCAACATTTTGTTACTCCATACTCCATAAATGAACATCTTTTTTTTTCAAAAGTTACATTAGGATGTTTTTCCATTTCCGTCCGTACCGTTAAATTTCCGCCGCTTGCAATGAATTACCAAATATAAAATATCGCTGGTTTTGCTTTTTGTTCCGCTAAACAAGCATAATGCATTTGTGTGTGTGCCTCATTAAACTGCGCAAGCCTAAAAGTATGCTATAATTTATAACCAACATCGCAAAGCTCTTAGAAAAATTTTCATATCCGTCCGACCGTTAAAATTTAAATGTTTAAATTCAGTGTTGCACTTATGCTTATTACGCGGTAAAATCCAAAAGTTCCTAACTTATCAAACTGCCCTCGTACTTTTACACTATAATTAAGTCTAATTTTAACTAATATAGACTTACCGTATTTCATCGATTGCAAAAGACAAATACCACAATGCGAACATTTTCTGAAAAAGTAAAAAAATGCATAATTCAATTTAAATAACAAATTCTACATACATACTTAGAGATAAATAAGAAATCGTAGCATCGTATGTGTATAATTACATAATCATTTTTTGCAATGCAAGATTTATTTAGAAAAGTCGAATAAGTACTTTCTTCTTTTCTAGTTGATTTAGAAATACGCTGAATAGCACAAATCTTGAGCGTATATGTACTGTGTATACATACAATAATAATGCCGATTGAAATTAATAAAATAAAAATTTGTATTATTTGGCAACTCTGATCGAAAATATTTTCGGGCCAAAGTTCTCATCAACACCTTTCATTTGATATTCATATTGCGATGTTTTAGATAAATTTTGTAGAATCGAAAATAAGTGGCAACCTTACACTAATATCCTAAGAGATAATACTTAGTATATAGGGAAAGCATTGTTTTCAGAACCTTCTCTTGGTACCAATGAATAGTAATATTGTACCTTTACTTTCTAAACAAAAAAATAAATAAATATGCGATTCAAAATAGGTGGCAACCCTATTAAACATATTTTTGATTTAGGGATTTTCAAAATACTCTCCATTTGATGCCCATATTATGATGGATGTCTGAATTAATTTGTAACTAATTTCGAATAGGTGGCGTTCTTATACGAGTCCTCGCGGAGATAGTACCTACATATTTAGATAACCTTAAAATGCAAAACATTATCTGCGTACAAAATATCATCAAAATCGTTAGAGCTCTATCCGAGAATCCTATGGATATATATGTATATGTATATATTCATATAAAAAAGTTGCTCGTTTAATGAAATAAGAAGGAAATGATTTTAAATGGTGATAGAAAATTTTTCAAAATGTTTATATTTTCTCTCAAATGTTCTATGAATCATACATACACATACATATGTATGTATGTACATATGTTCATAGTAAGATTTTGAATACTGCTAATGGCTGTATGACTAGTGTTCAGTACACAGTACTAGGCAGTTTAGTCATGCTGACACCTTTGAATTTGCTCATACAATTATATTTATAGCCTGTGTACGTACATACTAGGGCATTCAATCTCGGACACTATTCCATGTCCCGAAATCCCGGGATTACAGCTCCGGGATCCCGACACTTTTACTGAGTCATTTACGGAATAAAAGAGATGTTGAAAACGAAAAATTAACTCATTTGACATGATAAACGAGATATACAGAACACCAAAAATTTTGATTCAAAGTGAACTGGAGCCATTTGAACACGGACGTGAATTTCAGAACCTGTCTGAACAACAGTACTTGTTCAAACATTTCGTGCAAGAACTGTGTAATAACGAAAAAACTGGTAGCAANTGTACTTGTTCAAACATTTCGTGCAAGAACTGTGTAATAACGAAAAAACTGGTAGCAATTGACAACACAACAAGATTTTACAGTGTGGTTGTTCCTCATTTTATTTTGTTGGCGTTTTGTGGAAAATGAATTTCTGAAGATACATATTAGTAAAGGGGTTTTTACAATTAATATAGACTAGTATCGCCCCGTTGTCGAAATTCGACCACTTCACTTTTTTCACACACTTTTTCATTTTGCCTGGGAAGTGATTTAGGTCCATCAGCACCTGTTAATCGTCTAGCTCACTTACATATATTGTTTGGTGGAGAAACATACATTCTGTTAAATAATTTAAAAATTCATAGATGGTGCAACCAAATCAGGCACCTACCGGAAAATAATACCTTTCGAACAAAAGAAGAATCATTAAAATTGGTTGAGAAACATAGGAGCAGTAGGGAGGAATGGATTTGTATGGAATTTCGTTAGCGTATTAATATATAGATATTTTAAAATCTTCTACTGAGGTGTATTATGATCCCTTTAAAATAGGCGAACCTACTGTTAAATGCAAAAAATGTGATGAAGTCGAAATCCCGAAAAATTAGATTAGAATTTTTTGCATTCCGAAATCCCGGAATTGTTAAAATGCTTCGAGATTGAATGCCCTAGTACATATATATAAAATAAATAAGTCTACAAGATTTGTTTAAAATTAGCTCTAATGCGACAATTTTGCAGGCTAAATTGAAAATAGAAAGCTTCCTGTAGCTTTACGTTTGGAATACTTAAGTCTGCATAGGTGAATGCACGCAGTTGCAATGATTGCACGTAAAAATTAGTGTATGCATGCACTGAATATGTACACAGCCATTTTATATACATTTTAAATTTATTTATATTTAAATCTTTTTGAACACATTTTCATTCAAACGTAGATACTCTATACATATATACTCCGGCACTTAGCAGAGCGATTCCTTCTAAATTATTCTGCTTAAGAAGCCAAACTAGAGGAAAATTCTACAAGTGGTATCGACAAGAGAGCGGGGCCTTAATCCCACTTCCGAACTAAAAATACACAGTACAGTTTTTTAATCCGTGACAACAAATATTTCAAGTAGGTAAAACCTGTGTATTTAAATGGTACCGAATACAAATCTAAATTTGTACTCAATGAAATTATAGATTAATCTGTTTTCTATAGGAATCTACTGTTTTCGGGTGCTGTCTTTTTCGAAAGTAATGCAGAATCTTGATGGTATGCCATTTTTAGACACACCTGTCGCCAAAGAGGCAAACATAGATGTATGTAAGTGCAAATAACGTTGACATGGGGAGATGATTTCTTACTTTCTGCTTTCGATTTCTTGTACTTAAATAATATGAGCAATTACTCCCTTCGAGTTGTAATCTCCTTTTTCCAATAGGCATAAACAGCAGTTAAGGCTTGGTGGAAATGAACTATTAAGTTGAAGTGGTATCGATACCTGTACTTGGAAGTAGCATCGAAAGAAAGTATCGATATCTATTAAGTATCGGGCTAAAAGAATCGATGCCTACTTATATCGATATTTGAACCTATATAAGAATTGTTTATATAAAAAACGCTACATATCACATATCTCTAATTGTTTGTCAAAATAACTTATGTGACTATAATTTTTGATTTTAGATGAATAGTACTTAATATTTTTAAGAAAAACTTTAAATTTTAAAATATGTTTTACTAGGATGGCCTCCCAAAAAAAACAAGAAAAAGTGCAAAGTCCAATAAGTTGTTTTTTAAGAAGTCCCCAGAATTGTTTTAACGGAATTTGATTCTTTTTTATGTACGTATTTTATTTGTTATACATAAATATTTATTTTGTACAAAGAGAAAGCGATTGAGATCACAAACAATTATTTTATAATTTATTTCATTTAAATTAATTAACTAATCAAAGTTATCTGTATTGTAACACTGTTCTACAGCATTTTTGCAGAGTAACAATGGTACTTTATTTCTGAAAGAAGTAATCATGTTGATAATTTTTGGAAGACAAAAATATAGCGTAGTGTAGGTATTCATATCGCTGGCTTAAAGTGAAAATTCCATTTGTAGAAAATTTACAGGTGAGGAAAAAATCTTTTCAACACATTTCCTTCAAGAATTTTGCAGAAGGTTCCGTTGCAAATTAAAAGATTTAGAATTTTTTGCGAGCTTATCGATTTTTCTGTGTGTCTTTTGGACTTAGTAAATTTGCCTTTAATTGAATATAAACGGGAAGAAATAAAGCAAGCACATTAGTTAATCGTAGTGTCCGACCGAGCGTTCGGGTTCGGGTCGGTTACCGAGCATTTCGGCCAGGAAGCTACTGTAATTTGGTTGTATTGCTTTTTTATGGCAACTTTCTTATTTCTTGCTGTTCCTTCCCGAAGTTTTAATGCCCAATAATACTTTTAGCAAGTTAAATTTTCAAAATTGCTTTGTAATTCAATGTGAAATTGAAAAAAGAAAGTTTATTTCTACGTGTTAACGGCCAGAAAGAACTTTCTGTTTCAAAAATAAAAATTGCAAAATTGCTCGTGCTGCACTAGCAATCCGATCCGATCATTAGATCATGAAATATATATATATATATATATTTTTTTTTATATTATAATTGAAGTCGGTTTTTTTTTCTTTTTTTTTTTTTAATTTTTTCAAACACATGGCCGGAGAGGACATTAGCACCCTATTTCGGGTATGGGCAATCGAAGTGCATAATTAGGTTTTTAAGTTTTCGGTACGCCTTCATACATTTTTTTTTTTCAATCGAAGGTAAATTTTTCTGGTATTTGTCCAGAAATTTCCCTAATTTCCCCTTTAGGGTGTAGTAAGTGGATTCTAGGGAGTGAGGATCTAATTCAGTTTGAACCGACTTCACAAAAAGGAGGAGGTTATCATATCGTCGGAATATTTTTTTTTTATGTATGTTACCGCATAACTTTGGACCACGTTAACCGATTTCGATAATTCTTTTTTCATCGGAAAGGTGGTACCTCAAGGGTGTTTAGATCCGATAATTGGATCGTGAAGAAATTAACGATAATCTTAAATTTTCATATGAAAACTGAAGTCGGGTTTTTGTTGCTTAAAAATTACTTGTTTTTAGTCATTTTCGGTTTCAGCGTTCACACAGAAAGAAATACACACTCATCTCAACTTTGCATGAAAAATGAAATTTCAATTTATAGTGGTAGTTGTAAAAGAGTGGTGGCAGCAAAATGGGCAATTGGGTCATATGCGTTTTCAACGACTCCAGAAACCTAGGAATATTGGGATCTATCCTCTGTTCCACAACATTTTTTTTTGTGTAAGTCTGCTTTCAGACTTTTGGCATGTTCACAAAAGTTAAGGCCTGAGATATTTGCAAAGAAATTTGCCGAAAAAAACCAAACAACCACAAACACCTGAAAAATTTCCTTTGGAGGCAAAAAAAAAGTGTATGAAGGTGCGCAGTTCGAGTCTCCATACCCGAGAAATAGGGTGAAACCGTCCTTGTCTTCTTTTGCGGCAATAATAATAATATAATCGGATAATAGACCCATCAGAATTGATCAAAAAGTTCATTTGACACCCTTCGATCTACTCTCGGCCAAAAAAACCTTACAGTTTCACATTCTTTAGTTGATATTCCAGAGCTGATATGAGGCCTATCTATTCAAGAGTACTCGGTATGTGGTCAAA